CCCCCCGGCTGGCCGCTCTACCTCCTTCCCTCTTTCGCGTGTGAGGGAAGGAAGGGGCAGGCCAGGGGTGGGGTGGAGAGCCTGTCGGTCGCCTGAGGCGATTGCCCTGCGCTTGACAGCTCGGCCTGAAGGGAACCCCGCGCGCCAGCGGCGGCGGCGTGGGGACGCGTGGTCAGGGCTGACATGAGTCCGGGCGCGAAGGCTGAACGAGGAGCGGCGGCGGCGGCGGCGGGGGGGGAGGTTGAGAAGGAGCCAACCACTCCCCTCTTCCTGAGGGAATCTCTTTCTTCCCCCACCCTCACAGACACACACACACACGTCTGAACTTCCCCTCACACGTTTCCTCCCCTCCCCCCCTTCCCTCAGGGGGGAAAAAGAACCCACCCTCGCCTCATATTTTTTTTCCCGCCCACCGGGGCTTCCTGCCTGAGGGGAGCTGAGGAAGCGGCCAGAGAGGCGCAGCCCGAGCAGCTTGACCTACCGGGGGCGGCAGCGGCGGCGGCTGAGGAGGAAGGGACAAGGAAGGAAGGGAGGCAGGCAGGCAGGCAGGCACGCAGGCCGGCTGGCCAAGGCCCTGCCTCAGGCAGGAGGTGGCGCGGCGGCGGCGGCTGAGGGGGGCTTCCTGCCTGAGGGGAGCTGAGGAAGCGGCCAGAGAGGCGCAGCCCGAGCAGCTTGACCTACCGGGGGCGGCAGCGGCGGCGGCTGAGGAGGAAGGGACAAGGAAGGAAGGGAGGCAGGCAGGCAGGCAGGCACGCAGGCCGGCTGGCCAAGGCCCTGCCTCAGGCAGGAGGTGGCGCGGCGGCGGCGGCTGAGGCGGCTGAGGCGGCGGAGCGGAGGGNNNAAGGGGGCGGGGCGGGGCGCGACGCGGCGTGATTCGCTCCCTGCCCCCGCCCTCCTCCTCTCCCCCTCCCCTCCTCCTCCTCCGCCGCCGCTTGCGTAGAAGCCGCGATTGGCGGAACAGGCCACCCAACCCCGCCCTCGCGGTCGCGCGTGCGCGGACGGGTGGTCACGGTGGGAGCGGTGGAAAAATGTGGGAGAGGTGGCATGGGGCGGGGCGATCTCGCACGCACGGGCCCCCCTCCCTCCCTGCCAATCATCAACGGCCAACGACGACCTCAGCCAACCGGGAGAAAGGATATATTTTTAACCTAACTCGTAAGCGGGAGGGAGGGAGGGCGTGGGTTTCGGCACTAGAGGGATGTGAAGGAGAAGGGAGACCCGAGCGAGTCAGCGGGCGGGCAGGCAGAGGGAAGGAGGGAGAGATTTGCATATTTGTCTCCCGCTCGCTGATTGGGCGGCGAAGGAAGGACGGCGGCTTGACCGGCCGCCAGAAGTCC